AGCTATATAGACCAAAATCATTTTTTGTACCAGGCTGTAAACATATTTGTTTCTGCTGTAAAGTTGGGCATTTTAACATAGGGAGTCTATGGGACTGACTCCCTTTTGGAGCCAGCCCTAGCGGCCAGTCGATGAATTGCAGTTTTAGTCACTTCCGTGTTGGCTTCACGAGAGAGACCGGAAGGTTGCCGCTTGTGTCAGAAACAGCATGAAGCTAAACCATTGTTGCCAAGTCCGCGGTTTTCCCGCGGAATTGGGCTACTTGAACACTGTTGCCGTGGGTTGTTTTTCATGTCCGCGGGTTGAAGCAACTGCAATAACATGATATTTATCATCTGGAAGGCGAATTTTAGCTGGGCAACCCCGCCAAAAAAAACGTGTATTTTACCCACCGGAACGCGATTTTTAACTGGGGACCCCCTCGAAACACGATTGGGCTAGTTTTGGGCTAGTTTTGAGTAGCGATTGGGTAGGTTTTCTTGTGAAAACCTGGCAACCCTGAGCTAATCCCATTTAACTTTGGTAAAATCACTGTAATAGCCTGAAGTGTTTTATAAAACAGTGGTACTAGTAATTTGAAAAAAAGACACTAATGTTCAATAGATAGTCACGTTATTATTAATAATATGTCATGTCATACAGTTTATTATTGCAGGGTCATTTATGGTTGCCAAGCAATGTAGCAACAAGGCAGATTAAAATTCAGGGTTCCCATACTTAAATATTGCCATCTATCTAGTTAAAATCATAGATTGATACATTTCTACACTCAGAAAAAGTCATTTTTAGTCAATTAATTTGTTTAGAGCACAGAATAACTAAAAATGTATGCACACTATGGAAATTTTGGAAACACAGTGATTCTATACATTAACATTAGGTAATTGTGCAATATATAATACTTACATTTTTTGACATTCCAAATACCATAACAATAACTATGAATTAACGTGCCACAAAACGAATTGTGAAATGTTACAATCATTTCCATGACCTTTTATGATTTTCTTGTATTCCATCATTTTACAAGCTTGGAATATTTCCAAGACTGGGGGAACCCTGAATAGTACACGTACACGTGTTGCACATGGTTTGTGTTCAATCTCTACTATCCAGGGTCACTCACTTGGGTTGCGTATGTCATAGCTGAGGGCCAACATCTTCTCCAGCTCTAAAATGGAGGACAGAGGCAACTATCAAAACTTTCAAAGACATAACAGAAGACAACACAAATCTTATTAGCATTATTATTTTTATTACTAAGGATCTTTGTACAATATCTAATATTACAGCAACCGCTTCACTGCAGATGATGTAGCATCCATAATACAGATCAACACACTGACAAGTATCCGACAGCCAAATCAAATAAGATTCGAATCTGTCAGTGGAATGTTTTGATAGTGTCTGGCTCTCTATATAATTTTGAGGAAGGGCATTAATAATGAAGGTGATAGTCATAATATATTAACAGGCCTCACCTTCTGCTGACATCTTGTAGCTGGCGGAGGCACCATCAGTATGTGTAACAGACACAGAGTATGTGCCCAAATCCTCTTTGTCTGGGTTCTTAAAAAGCAAAGTTGAGCTAAAGAAACAAATGAGCAAACATTAGTGTCTGTTCGGTGGGACAACAAAAGGAAAACAAACGGAATTAAATATGCACAGACTGTGGCACTGCCCTAAATATGCTTTGAGCTAATATGTATCTGGTCCAGATCTAGTTAGGACACATCGTACGTGTGTTTGTCTTACTGGCTGCCTGATGTCTTCAGGATGATTCCCTTAGAGAAGTCAGTCATTTCTTGGTAGGACTTCTTCCACACAAACTTTGATTTCTCCGCCATTTGGCAGCTCTCAAAAGAGAGATAAATGTCACCTGATTCCTCATCGATGCCACATTTGATTTCCTGGGTACCTTCAACATAACAGAACAGAGAAGAATTTGCACACAAGCAAACAAGATGTGCAGACTACAAAATAGGATATACCGGATTTACAGTTGGGACAGAGTGGAATTATTGAAAAGTACTGTTCCCTATGATTAGAAAAAGTTGGAGGACACAATATTAAATTTATCAGATTTAAATAATGAATATTATCTCCATATACGAATTCATATATTTAATTACTTATATGGATATACATATGATCTTAATATTAATTAGATGATATTTCGCTCCTCTGAAGATCTAAAATGGACTACAAATGTCACATATAAAAACGTCCCATTGATGACATTTAATACCATTGACGTCAAATGCCATTGGTTCCAATGTTGGTCTTGTAACCAAATGTCATTGAAATCAAACCTGATGGAGCACCCCATTTCATTTTCCGTAAAAATCAGCTTATATTTCTGTCTGTTTGTCACACAAAGCTATAGAATGGCTTCAGAAGACGCATTATATATTTTATTAAGGATGGTATATTATATAATATTGTGTGCACCACTTTTATACGAAGTCTCATTTTGTGGCTTTACAAACCTAGTTTTAATTCATTTTCATAATTTGGAAAGTGGCCAGGATATTCTGGAAATTCACTTTTTCCACACAGCAAATAAAGTTTTATACTATTCCGGAATAAGTTTAAACTAAGAAAATAATAGCAGTATTTTCATTTTAGGGGAGTTATTACTGTAAACTGTAAAAAGTGGTAACTTGCAGTTGTGACCTTAAAGAGATATTTCTACCTGATTGAATGCATAAAGATTACTTTCATTAATTAGTTGGTATAAATCAATGTATATAGGTGGATAATATTTTTGATTTGAATAAAACCAGTTCATTTAGATGCTACCATTTTCAGTGCAGTGGTGTACATGCATATTCAAATTGGTTTAAAAATAAAAGAAAATGAAATAAAATAAAAATGAATGAACATGCAAGGTGTGAAAAAGTTTGTGAATGATTGTTGCAGACGTCTGTGGAGTTCTGCAGGCGCAGATTCAATGTAGCCCTGATTATGACCAATCAGCCTACACAGGGCTTCCCTTCTCGGTCGTGCTACAAGGAGAACATCTCATACAACATCACACACATACTTTATATAGACAGACGAATCCACAGTGCACTCTACTGGCTGACAGCATTTTATCAGCCTCAAAACCTTTCAGGCTGCTTGGAATGAATCATCTTGGATCATCCCGTTTTCCTTATCTGCGAATGTGCAGGCAGCTGCTCCCCAAGACACTTCAGAACGCCTCCCATGCTGCCATCCGCACTGCCCCGCACCGCTCTGAATTCCTCTCATTTCATCCAAAATACAGATCCCTTCTTTCAAATCCACTGATATTCAGCTATTCTGGATTCTGGGTGGTTTTGTAAGTGCTTAAAGACTATATGAATTTACAACTGACGAAACTGATTGCAACTTCTGGTTTTACTGTGCACAATTCCAAAAAGCCAATCTTCATACTCTAGTAAAAAACCACCTCTGAAATGCAACTACCCAACATAAATTCCCATAGAGGATCACGTCATCTCTAGCCAAAGGCAGGGAAACACCCTGGATGGATGACCAAAGTCACCAAGCCAATGAGGTCTATACTGAAGGAAGCCATCCGTTCATCCCTCGGAAGTATGTGAACTGAAATCTGCCGTTTTTGCTCATAGGCACTTTTGAGCCAATCTGGAGCCATACATGTCATGTGACTAATTCCTAACCACCCTGGTGCTGCAGCAAAAAGCTGATTGGCTGACTAGTCACTATGCTGAGATGAGACATCAAAGACAGCTGACATTTTCCATTTCCAGCCCATTTCACGCTTTTAATGGCCTTCAAGAAAAAAGTAGAAAAAAAGTTCAGTAGAAAAACATCTATATGCAAAATAAATAAATAAACAAATAAACATTTTGTCAGAATATACAGTAATTTTACAAAAGCAGTCAATTGAGAAAAAAACTAGCATTAGCATGGCTAGTTGGGCCATACTAATCAGTTAAAATCTTGACACTTTCCAAAAACCTAGCTCTATTCCGTTATGTAATGATTTCCCCAATATTTTCTGGTTAAAAATCCTTTTTCATGTGTAAATGAATCACATTATGGAAGCAAAAAGGGGGCTGCAAAAAAAAATATTTCATATTGACTTGGAACATAATTCCCCCTTGAGGCAGTGGTTCTCCATAACTTTAACAGCTAAAATATCATTATCATTAGTTTCCCAGGGATGTGAATAGAAATGACTATTCTGAGGGTTAAACAAATGCAAAGCAATTTGGCATTCAAACTTTAATTAGATTATTATCGCAAAAAGCAGCCAATCAATAAACAAGAAGCATTCTTCTTCTTACTATTATTATATTGTATATGTTATAGCGTGTTTCTGGATGCTAGACACTAAGTTGCTTTCACAAGTCTGACAGCTGTGCTACACAAAGCTGACAGAAAAAGTGAAGTAAAGAGTAGTTGCTATGGAAACAATACTTCTTCTCGTCTAGTCGCATTGGTGTAAACTGGCATGTGTTAGAATGATGCAGACCACATTCTTTTGCAAGTACTTGCTAGTTTCATCTTGTCTTGGTGTGAATCTTTTACTGTAAACAAAACCCCTTTCAAAAATATATCTTCCAGCACCCCCAATATTCTCTCATTGAAAATCACTGCCTTAAAGGGACAGTTCACCCAAAAATGAAATATGAATATAAAAATAATACAAACTAATTATGAATCTATCAATTTAATCCAAGTCTTGGGAAGAGATTAGATTGCTTTATTTGATGAAAATATATAATTTAGCGCTTACAGAGCTCATCACATATTGTAAACATGTAAGCTTGTGCATGTGTTGCTAGAACAAACCTAATTGGTTCTCACGCACCACATGCGCACATTTGAGCTTTCGCGTTTACCATATGTGATGTGCTCTATGTATGTGTCAATCACTGTTTAGATGCAAATAAAAGCCAAAATTAAATCTGTACATCGAAGTGATCATATCTCTTGACAAGACTTGGATAAAATCACTTGATTCATATGGATTTGTTTAACGATGCATTTATGACCTTTTTAGTTACCTGGACTTCCAATGGAGGGACAGAAACCTCTCAGTTTTATAAAAAATATCTTAATTTGTGTTTCGAAGATGAACCAAAGTCGTATGGGTTTGTAATGACATGCTGGAGAGAAATTGGTAACAGAATTTTCTTTATAAGTACTCCCCATCAACTATGTCGACAAACAATCTATGCACGAATCAACAAAAAATCCAACACTAATTGTCTCATAAATTGTGATTCCTAAACTCAAATTGCACAAAAATGATTTTCATGCAAGTTCATTCAATGTGCATACATGCTCTAGAATAAACAGATGAAAGCGATTGTTTTTTTAATTGTAAGGTTGGTAACAATATTATAGGGACCAATTCTCACTATTAACTAGTTGCTTATTAACATGCCTATTATTAACATATAGGCTGTTTATAAGTACTTATGCAGCACATATTCTGCATGACCATAATCTACATTATTTAGTACCTAAACTTAACAACTACCTTACTAACTATTAATAAGCAGCAAATTAGTTTTAATTGAGGAAAAAGTCCTAGTTAATGGTTTGTTAATGTTAGTGTGACCGTAAGGTTTTTCCCATTACGTATTAATATTCATATATTCCCATTCAAATAAGTACGTGTCACGAATCCGGTTCATGGACTTCCGTCCAATTACCACCAGAGGTCGCTCTTCCATTTTTATGACTCTCTCACTACACAGACTTTCACATGTCACCCGTCACTACATTTCCCAGCAGCCATTTCACTAATCACACGTTCACCTGAAACCAATCACACACACTATATAAACACACACTCAGATCCTGTACAAACTGCCGAGTATTGTTTAAGCATTTATGCTGTTTAGTGTAGCTACTTTACGGAGCCAGTTCCCAGTCCTTGTTTAAGTTTCTAGTTCTAGTTTCCTTAGCCTAGTCAAAGTCTTGCCTTGCCTGTTTTCTGATCTTCTGCCTGTGTATCTTGGATTAACCCTTTGCCTTGCTGTTTCGGACTGTGTTTGCCCCTCGCCTTGCTCATTTTATTGGATTACCCCTCTTGTCAAGCCCTTTGGATTATGTTGGCTGTTGATCGACCTACACCTGTTTATCGGATTACTCTTGTGTCTTGCCCTCAATATACCTGTTGCCATTGTCTGACCCTCACCTGTTTCTGACCATTCTAATGAATAAAGCGTTGCAAATGGATCCGCACGTCTCGCGTCACTGTCGCTCCATTACAGTACGCATATTCATTCACAAGTATTTCCGCTCTACAGTACTGGTTTACCTGGCAGTGCCTTGATGCACACAGGGTCAGAGGGGGTTGAAGCCACCCCAACGCCATTGGTGTTCTCTGCCCGCACACGGAACCCATAAGACTCGCCTGTTTCTAGACCCTTGACCTGCAAATATTCAAACAATACGTTTGATAAAGCCATAGAGAAACACACCAGTATTCATACTCCCATGTCTAGCTGAAGCAATAGTACAAAATATCTGAGAATGGGAGTTTAACAGCACAAATCGATACCTTAAAATAGCAGTGGTTGACTGAATTTTCGTTGACTTTGCTCCAGTTATCCGAGCCTTTCTTGGATTTCTCAACAATGTATCCAGTGATAGCACTGGCACCGTTGTAGACAGGAGCCTTCCACTCCACCACCACCGAATCATCCCTTACTTCAGTGAAGGTCACGTCATAGGTTGGACCTACCAAAGCCAAACACGAGGAAATCAATGCTCCAGTTCTTCATGCTTTCAATCATGTTTAATATCTATTTGGGTGAATCTCATGAAAACATGTCCAGGTGACATTTCAACCTAAAACGGGGGAAAAAAGTGACTTTAGTTTCACGTAAATTAATCACCCATATTCTCATCACTGTAATTAATCTGGATGTTTTACATCTGATTTCCATCTGAAATAGCATTTCTTTGATTTTAGGGTAAAACATGACTGGAACATATTCTACACAGCTTCCATCACGTCTAATGGTCTTCTGTATTTCTTGTCTGGTCTTGACTGTTCAATACACAAATGTCGAGAGGGAAAGAGTGTCTCAAAAATGTGTCTCGAACAACAGCTCTTTGTGTGAAAACAGCTATTGATCATCTTACTCGGTTCACTTGAAACCAAGTAAGTGCATGTTTTGAAACATGTACTATTATACTATTAATACTTCATTTTTTAATGATTGTGATATAGTGCAGTGGTGGCTGGCAGCATGGTGGTTGCAGGTTGGAACCCTGTAGGGTCAATATATAGCCAAAAGAGAGCTATAGAGAGCTCATATTCCCTTTGTAGACTTTAACAAGGTTTTTAACCATGCAAACAAGACATCTTGCTGCAGAGAATTTGTGCCTCTAATAAGAAAACTGTAAATCTGCTAAACAACAAGTACCCATGTAATGTTTGCCAAGAGTTGTGAGTTGAAAGTCGCATGCATGAGTGTGTTTTGCACACGTAAGACTTTTACTTCCTCTAAAGTGTTCTTAGGGCAGCACATAATCACCAAAATGCAGCATATTCATATTATGCCAAACATGTATGACTTAATTTTTTTTCTGTGGAAATAAAGAGATATAACTATGGAGAATCTTCAAAGAGCTCTTTTCCAGCAATATTAATTAATTGAGTTAACTAATATGAGGCAAAAAAGTAAAGATAAAATAAAAATAAAACTAAATTGAGGCAAAAAAAGTAAAAATAAAATAAAATATTGTCATTGACTGCCATATGAAAGAAACATGCCAAAGATTTGTTGTCTATTTGCATTCAGATTCTCTATGGCGTAACAATGTGCTGTCAAAAGACCATTAGTTATTGAGCGTGTTACTTCAAATACGAGGAATGGAGAATAAGATTCCAGAGCTGCAGCGGAGGGAAGATTTTCAGTGACAGGGCTCAAGAATAAGGATGGCCCGCTGGCCCGGGACCAATGTGAAAGAGTTTTGTGCCAGTTTGCAGAATTGTCAATTGCCCTTTCGGGCCAGTGCTGCATTGCCAATGAAAAGCTTACATTTATTGATCTTGTACATCATTTGTTATGCCTTGGAAACTTAATCATTTGGCTTTCTGTGATGTAATCTACATTGTTGATTAAAATTCTGCTGCTTCTCCTGTAAAACTTAACAATATGGTTCCATAGCTGACATTAGTTAATTCATTAACTAACATTAACTAACAATGAGCAATACATTTGTTACAGTATGTATTAATCTTTCTCTAAAAAATGCTGGGTTGTTTTAACTCAACTTTGGGTCAAATATGGACTAACCCAACTGTTGGGTTAAATTTTTCAATTACATTTTTAACCCAAAAGTTGGGTTAGTCCATATTTGACCCAAAGTTGGGTTAAAACAGACTTTCACATGTCACCCCGGACTGCATTTCCCAGCAGCCATTTCACTAATCGCACGTTCACCTGAAACCAATCACACACACTATATAACACCCACTCAGATCCTGTTCAAACTGCCGAGTATTGTTTAAGCATTTATGCTGTTTAGTGTAGCTACTTTACGGAGCCAGTTCCCTGTCCTTGTTTAAGTTTCTAGTTCTAGTTTCCTTAGCCTAGTCAAAGTCTTGCCTTGCCTGTTTTCTGATCTTCTGCCTGTGTATCTTGGATTAACCCTTTGCCTTGCTGTTTCGGACTGTGTTTGCACCTCGCCTTGCTCATTTTATTGGATTACCCCTCTTGTCAAGCCCTTTGGATTATGTTGGCTGTTGATCGACCTACACCTGTTTATCGGATTACTCTTGTGTCTTGCCCTCAATATACCTGTTGCCATTGTCTGACCCTCACCTGTTTCTGACCATTCTAATGAATAAAGCGTTGCAAATGGATCCGCACGTCTCGCGTCACTGTCGCTCCATTACAGTACGCATATTCATTCACAAGTATTTCCGCTCTACAGTACTGGTTTACCTGGCAGTGCCTTGATGCACACAGGGTCAGAGGGGGTTGAAGCCACCCCAACGCCATTGGTGTTCTCTGCCCGCACACGGAACCCATAAGACTCGCCTGTTTCTAGACCCTTGACCTGCAAATATTCAAACAATACGTTTGATAAAGCCATAGAGAAACACACCAGTATTCATACTCCCATGTCTAGCTGAAGCAATAGTACAAAATATCTGAGAATGGGAGTTTAACAGCACAAATCGATACCTTAAAATAGCAGTGGTTGACTGAATTTTCGTTGACTTTGCTCCAGTTATCCGAGCCTTTCTTGGATTTCTCAACAATGTATCCAGTGATAGCACTGGCACCGTTGTAGACAGGAGCCTTCCACTCCACCACCACCGAATCATCCCTTACTTCAGTGAAGGTCACGTCATAGGCTGGACCTACCGAAGCCAAACACAAGGAAATCAATGCTCAAGTTTTTCTTGCTTTCAGTCAGGTTGTATATCAGTTTTGGTGAATGTCATGAAAATACAGTATGTGCAGATGTCATTTCAACCTAAAACGAAACAAAGAAAACGTGACTTCCATTTAGTTTCATGTAAATTATCACCCTTATTCTCATCACTGTTATCTGGATTATTAAATTCTGATTTTCAGCTGTAATGGTTTTAGGGTAAAATATAACTGGAACACATTCTTTACAGCTTCCACGAGAATCACAATGGTCTTTTGTATTTCTTGTCTGGTCTTGACTGTTCAATACATGAATGTCGAGAGGCAGAGAGAGGAATATAATCAGGACATAATGCAGGCCAGATCTTGTGAAAAACGGTTATTGATCATCTTACTCCGTTCACCTGAAACAAAGTGACACAGTAACATGTTTTGAAACATGTCCTACTAATGTTATTAATACTTCAGTTTTAATGATGGTGATATAGCGGAGTGGTGGCTGGCAGAATGGTGGTGGTTGCAGATTTATTCCCTGCAGGGTCAATATAAAACCAATCCGCTTTTGTAGCCTTTAAAAGGGGTTTTAACCATGCAAACAAGACATCTTGCTGCAAAGGATCTGTGCCTCTAATAAGAACACTGTAAATCTGCTAAACAACAAGTACCCATGTAATGTTTGCCAAGAGTTGTGAGTTGAAAGTCGCATGCATGAGTGTGTTTTGCACACGTAAGACTTTTACTTCCTCTAAAGTGTTCTTAGGGCAGCACATAAAAACACCAAAATTCACCATATTCATATCGTGCCAAACATATATGTCTTTATTCTGTGGAAATAAAGAGATACAACTATGGAGAATCTTCATAGAGCTCTTTTCCACCAACTTCAGTTCATTGAGATAAACTCCAAATAGAGCAATAAAAATAAAATGTCTTCGACTACCATTGTCACGATACACTCGGGGAAGGAACGAGGAGAGGCAGGAGAATACTTCAAGTGGGTCTTTAATCCAACAAACAAAGGTATACACACACGAACTCAGGGATGACATTTAACAGCTGACACAGACTCAGGGAAAACAAACAGGGAAACACAGGCAAAATGGGCAAAAGAGGGAGGGAAACACAAGACTGACATTTACTCCCCCTCCCGGAAGGCGCATCCCGCGCCGTGACAACATCCAATGGGGAGGGGGGATGGGCGCTCTGGAGGCCTCTAGGGACAGGGTTACTAGACGGAAGACCTCCAGGGCGGTGCCCATTCCGGGACCCACAGCGGAACAGGGAGCTCGGGGAGCCATGGCGGAGCAGGGAGCTCGGGAGGCCATGGAGGTGCTGGGAGCTCGGGAGGCCATGGCGGTTCTGCCTCCGAGGCCGCGGCCCCAGCTCCCGCCTCTACGACCGGAGCCCTACTACCCCCCCCAAAAAAAAATCCTTGGGGGAACTTACGGGGCTGAACTCAGGGACTGGAGCCCTCCCTGGGCTTAACGGGGGATCAGGAGACCTCCCTGGGCTTAACTGGAGATCCGGAGCCCTCCCTGGGCTGAACTGGGGATCAGGAGCCCGTCCTGGGCTGAACTGGGGATCAGGAGCCCGTCCTGGGCTAAACGAGGAATCAGGAGCCCTCCGTGGGCTATACTCGGGAACAGGAGCCCTCCGTGGGCAATACTCGGGAACAGGAGCCCTCCATGGGCAATACTCGGGAACAGGAGCCCTCTGGAGGAGCAGGCACAGCAAGAGCTTTCGAGGAGCTGGCACTGGAGCCAACTCAGGGGCTGGAGCCGACACTGGAGCGAGCTCTGGGGCTGG